AAACAAAAACTATAAACAAAGTAAAAAAACAAACTGACTGGTTTGAACGGGTTTTTTTACCGGTTTTCACTGGTTTCCACCTTTTCGAACTGGTCAGCAAACATTTAAAACAAAGAATAAAGGTTTGCAAGCAAGCTAAAAGACAACAAACAAACAATAATTCTCCAATGTCTAATGCAAAAGACTAATGAACACATGACATCATCTGAATATGGAATGCACATGCCTCAGTGACTCTAAAACACTCAGACGTCGTAACTTTTTCTTCGAAAACGTCGAACATGGAATGATATGACTTAGCTGTTCTCTTTCCTACGAATCTCATGCAGATAATTCCCATCCTATCTAAACACGATTATCATAAATGAACTAAAAGCTTGTGTGAGTAGAATCCGAACCTGCTTATTAGAAGTGCACAGAGGATGGCCTAACATGTGGAAATAGCTACCGCCAGGTTTAGAGTGCGAAGTACTGACTGGGTACATCTGACAAGTGGTCTGGAGGCCTTTGGCAGAAACAGCTACCGGGCCCGAATGAGTGAAAGCAAGCCCATGAGTTCATTGTATACTACTATAATATAAATAAAGAACTACTGTGAGGCAAAAAAGCCAACACCAGAGGGTTAAACCGAGTGCCAGCTACTGACTGGGGTTAAAAGATTCATGAGTTGGGGGCCTTTGACAGGAAAAGCTACCTGGCCTGAGCGCGTGAAAGCTGCCCGTGGGTGGTTTGGTCCTGTGTATGATAATGGGCGGGAGAGGAGGAAACTCTAGCGGCTAACATGGAAAGGTAAATACCATAAAACAAGTACCGTGATTCGTGGGGAAGAGATGGCTGGAATTGGATTTTCCTGTCTTGATGTTTTTTGGAGTTCTTGTTATCGAAGTCTGGTAGAGGAGCACGAAGCCTGCGCAAAACTTGTACAGAATAATGTCATGCACCACTCTGAATATGAAGAGAGAGAGAGAAAGGAAAAAAAAAACTCGATCANATTAGAAAAGAAAATTTGACCAATCTCAATATTTTTTTTTTAAAAAAAAAAAACTGGTTGGGAGCTGGAGCTGTTCTCCTGATGAGCCCAAGGCAGGGCGAAACCAGTCGGGTACTCGATTAAATTGAGGAATAAAAGTGATCTGATTAACCTTTTTTAATCTCTGTTGTATTTCTTTTACTCTGCTGCGAGTTTTGTTTGTTAATACATAAGCAAATTATGTAAATAAATTTACAATTTTCCAACTATTCATGTGCCTGAATTTACAACTTGTTGAATAGAAGTGATCTATTTGCAGTATTTTAGTCCTTGTTTGTTGCGGTTGTATTGCATTTACTGTGTTCTACTTTTGTATGGTTTGTTGCTAGCTTGCCATATGCTCTCTCTTCATTTATCATAAAAGAAAAATAAAAGGGAAAAAGGAAAAGACAAATACAATGATTGAGGGCAAACCAGGAAAAAAGTTTTTGGCAAAAGAAAAAGAGGGCAAAGAGCAGAATCATTATTCTGACCATCTCACTACTTCACTTTTTGAATGTGAGCTCCAAATAAACTTGGGTTTGTAAAATGAAAAGCTTAAAACTGGCTGCCAACTAGAACACACGACTGCTGGTGCAGGACTTTGAGACTGCCTTGTGGAATTTCATAAATTTTAAAACCGAGTTAACGACTCCGAAATGAAATATAATTAGTTAGCAAAAAAATAATGGGGTTGCATGTAATAACAAGTCATATCGTGTGAATTCAGCGGCCAAAGCATAAATATCTAGATCTACATCTGTTCAAACGATATGAGTAAGAAAAAATAGACAAACGACAGGGATATTAAGTTGTAAAGAAAAATAATTAATACCTTCTTGGTGAATGGGGAAAGAGATGTCCCCGTCAGTCTTCAGGTTGAGTTTCGTTAAAGCTGGGGTAATCTTCAGAGCAACATATGAAGGTACAGCTTCTTGTTTTGGAAACCAACACCTGAAATCACTGTATTTCCAATTAAGCCAAAACATAAAACAGTAATAGACGGAGAACAACAGATAATAAAGGTATGTTGTGTTTGTATAGAGGTAACTTGCAGGAACAAGGACCAGTTGACAACAAAGCAAAAACAGTGAGTTCAAATGGAAGTAGTCTCTCTTCATATGTATATATATATATAAAGAGAGTGATTGGAAAAACTCGCTGGTCAACGTAAGTCGCTTCGTCCTGTCCAGATTTCCCGCAATGAAAGCATATGTATATATATATAGGGAGAGAGAGAGAGAGAGAGAGAGTATATTACCTTCTTTAAAAGAAAATTAGTTGAGTATAAGCATGTGAGTAAGGCAACAAAAGCACGAGCAGCTCATACTTTTCCTCAACCTGTTGGGAGCTGACTCTATTTTGGCCCAAAACACTCAGTAACTGGTCTATGATCTGAAGACCTAGATTCCCCGGGAATATACGACAGCTGCTGAAGGCCATTCCCATACTACAAAATCTGATCACACCTAGGTGTACATGTAATAATAGCTATCCAGATCAGCACTTACCTCAAGAGTTAAAAGAGAAAACAGTATACTTTGATTTATATAGTTACATTGAATATTGGTATTTTAGATTACAGGGGAGTGGGCCCACCATGCAGGAGTTCTTTTTTCTCTTTCGGGTGCAAATCTTCACCGGCATAGCTGTCTGATTTGTCTGAATATATTTGTATGTTGGTGAGAGATAGATCTTCCTTTCTTCACATCCATCAAAAATTCGGCCATGCCTCGGCTCGATCCGCAGCTGTTCACGATAAAAATATTCTCAGTATCTCGATAAAATCAGCATTCCTTCGTAGTTCGCCACCTTCCTTCTGACCAGATAAGCAAAGACTCGTCTAATGCAATAGCATGCTTATCGAAATGGATCCCTGAAAATAAAAATAACAAAAAGAAAAAAAGATCTTCGTTTTAGTACTTCATTTTGCTGTAAACAATTCCGAGGAAACCAGAATACATAAAAGAAACAATTTCTAATCAAACATGATAAGAAGACTGAATGAGCTGAAACAAAGACAGTTTTCTGTGCAATTCATTGTTCCACTTGAAGCCTACTTAAGTCCACAGAGACTCTTAATCAATCTACAAACCTATCCTTTGGATGTAGAACACTTGCTTGTAATGATTAGGCTCTTTATCAACAGAAATGTTTGCTAGAAATTCCAACTGTGAAGATGAATTGTCTTGACTTTAACTTGACTGTTTAACTGTTTGTTGCAAGCAAAAGTGTAACTAGAATACACCTTTTTGGCTAATTTCAAATCATGTATACTTCCAGCCAACCTGCCATCTAAAAGCTTCTTTTCTCCTACTTTCCCTCCTTAATCCATCCTTTGTTAACTAAACAATTCTTCTCAGTTTGAGTATCCTCCACTATTGTAGTCACTGTGGTGTTAAAGTATCCTCCACTATTGTAGTCACTGTGGTGTTATCTTCAATTGCCTGTGGGATAAGAACATCATCCTTGTTCATTGAGTGATATCGAAAGATCTCCTCAAAGACCACCACAAAGCATCTCCAAATCACATAATTGATACCCTTTTTCCGGGGACACTCCTAAGAATTTTTTTCCCTTTTTTAACATCAATTATTGTTATTATATTTGTTTTTTTCTAGGGACACTCCTAAGAAATGTGACTCCCCAGAAATATGCACTTGTTGCCTCTTTGGATCATATTTGGATTTGTGAGGAAGTTGGCTTATACAACCAAAAGGTCTAAGTCTAGCATAGGTTGGTTGCCTATCATACACTCTCAAAGCGTGATTTCCACTCCGAAAGAGAAGTAGGTAATCTGTTGATGATAAATGGTACAGTCAAGACTGAGTAGGCCAAAAGGACATAGGCAATCTTGCCTGAAACATCAAATTTCTTCCTATCTCCAGTAGTTATCTAGTTATCTATCTGTGCTTTCTATTGGAGTTTGAAGTTTCTTAGCATGGATATTTTTTTATTTCTTTTGTTTGCTTAGGAGTTAGTCGTTTTTCGACTGTTGCGTTTTTCTTTTATTCGAACGACGTCGTCTTTGGCTTAGTGACGTCTACATGGGTCCTGTATAAATTGCTCATTTTGTACGAACATTTGACTGATTTTGAATATACAAAAATGGAGATATTTTTCTCCCCAAAATATCGCGCTTAGCTTCTTCATGGTACCAGAGCAACGATTCTGGAGGTTTTCGCTTAAAATCAATGATCTGAAACTAGATCGTGCTAGCCTGTAAGCTCAACATCAAAGATGGAAGCTCGAAGAACAAATCCATGGCCGCTGCTAACTTCTAACGTCGAAACAGGGACAAAATCGAGTGATTCAGATCCACTGCTGTTACAAAGCTCGGATAATCCAGGCATGTCTTTAGTATCACACCAACTAACAGGTAACAATTTCCTCTCGTGGAAGCGTTCGATTATTATAGCTCTCGGTGCTAAAACAAAGCTCGGCTTCATCAATGGAGAAATTGCAATGCCAAATATTACTGATGAGTGTTATAGAGCCTGGAAAAAGGTGGATTGGATGGTATTGTCTTGGATTTTAAGCTCACTTTCAAAGGATATAGCTGAATCATTTTTGTATGCTGAGAGTTCTAAGGAACTGTGGGAGGATATTTGTGAGCATTATGGAGAAAATAATGGCCCTATGAAGTACAAACTGCAGAGGGAGATATCTAGCCTAAATCAGGGACACAGCTCGGTTATGGAGTATTTTAATAAATTGAAAAGGCTGTGGGATGAATATTCATGTGTAGTGCCTGTACAATCCTGTGGTTGTGAGAAGGGTAAGCTAGCAGCTCAACATGAATCAGAAACTAAGCTTATACAGTTTCTAATGGGGCTAAATGATGGCTATGATGGATTGAAGAACCAGATAATGCTGCTCGAGCCTTTACCAAGTGTGAATAAGGCTTATTCAATGGCCTTGACAGCTGAAAGGCAGAGAAGCGTACAAGGCATCTATGGAGAAAAAATAGACAATGCTGCTATGATGGCAAGATCTGGTATCTTTGGAAGAGGTCAAGGGTCTCAGAATAAAGGAAATAGTGGAGGAAGATCATTTAACTCAGGAGGACAATGGAATGGGGGAAAAGGAAGGGGATATGTGAGAATGACAAAAGAAGAAAAGGCAAGATTAGTATGTGAGAAATGTGGAATGAATGGGCACAACATGTCGACCTGCTTCAAAGTGCATGGGATACCAGATTGGTATAAAGAGTACAAGGAGAATCAGGGAAAATCCTATGCAAATAATGCAGAAGTCTGGTATGGAGAAGAACAACAAAAGTTCAAAGGGAACAATAAAGATGAATCCAAAGAAAATGACCTGTCTGCAATCATCAAGCAATTGAATGAGCTAACTCAGTATGTGAAGAGAAAAGAAGAATCAGAAAGCAAGGTGGACTATGCTCAATTTGTGAGTTTTGCAGGTGAGAACAAAGATGAGACTGAACATTTTGCTCTTACTGTTTTGGGAAATGGATGTGAGGAAAAGTGGATTATTGACACAGGGGCAAGTAGACACATTTGTGTCAACATAGAACTGATGAAGAATCTCATTCACACAGACAAACCAATTTCTATATGTCTGCCTGATGGATCTCTTAAAAATGTCACAATGGAAGGCAGTGTCATGATTACTAAAGATATTGCACTTCACAATGTACTCTATGTTCCCAGCTTTAAGTACAACCTCCTTTCAGTGGTACAAATGTGTCAAAACAGCAGCATGAAGTGGGTGTTCACTGGGAAATGTTGTTACCTGCAGGACCAACAGACTAAAGCAATTCTTGGCCATGGGGATCAAACTGGACACCTCTACATATGGAAGGGTAAATTTCCAGCACCTTTTGGTTGTAATTTATCCTTTCAAACATGGCATAAATGCTTAGGTCATGCATCCGTTGGTGCTTTGAAACATCTGAGTTTCTTGAAGAAAGATTGCACTCCTTTAAATGAAAATATGTTGCATTCCTGTGATGTGTGTTTTAAGGCAAAACAGCATAGACTTTCCTTTCCTTCCAGCAGTGTTCAAACTAATTCCAGTTTTGAGTTAGTACACATGGATGTGTGGGGGCCTTGTAGAGAGGAAGCAATTGTGAGCACACCTTATTTTCTTACCTTAGTAGATGATTACAGTAGAGGTACATGGGTTTTCCTCATGCAAAACAAATCTCAGGCCAGCAAACTACTGATAGACTTCATCAAAATGGTTAACACACAATACAGCTGCAAGGTTAAAAGGATAAGATCAGATAATGGCAGTGAGTTCTTTGCGAAATCCTTGGAGGAATTTTTCAGAAATAAGGGAATTCTACATGAAACCACCTGTGTGTATACCCCTCAACAAAATGGAGTGGTTGAAAGAAAACATAGGCATCTATTAGAAATGGGAAGAGCCTTAATGTTTCAAGCAAACCTACCTATGAAATTTTGGCCATTCTCAGTGTTAACAGCTGCATATATCATTAATAGAATCCCTAGTGCTGTTTTGAATTGGGAAACTCCTTTTGAGAGGCTCAATGGAACTTTACCAGATTATAAGAGATTAAAACCCTTTGGATGCTTAGCATATGCTGCTAATGTAGTTCCTCATAAATCTAAATTTGAGGCAAGAGGTGCACAGTGTGTGTTTTTGGGCTATGTGGCAGGCAAGAAAGGGTATCAACTCTTTAATTTGGAAACTGAAACCCTCTTGGTAGCTAGAGATGTTATTTTCTTGGAGGAAGAATACCTTTTTTCTAAACCAACAGCAACTATCAAACCAGCAGCAACTATCAAATATATTGTGGTGTATGAACACAACTGGTCTCATGTAAAATCCCCTTTTCTTGAAAAAAAAAAAAAAAATTGCATATCCTTGAAACTCCTTCCCATTATCTGATTTCACTTCCTATCATGTGTGTCAAATTGAGTCTCAATCATGAGGATAAAATTGGTCAACAACTTGGTTGTTTGTGATTTGTGAACCATCAAAAAACCCAAAGACCTCTGCTATAATCATCCACCACCGTTAGAAAGAAAGGTGTTCCCAGTCATAGCATCTTCATTGCATGGCCCCCATATATCTACATGCAATATCTGAAAGCATGCATCTGATAGAATGGATTGTGCTATTCTAAAATGGTAAACTATGTTGCTTTGCTTTGATATGATTATAAAGGGAAATAGATCAATAATATAGGTGATCATAACTGGCCTTCTCGGAAAAATGATTGACTCATACAAAGAGCAAAAGAGATCCATAAAAGCATGTAGTATGAGAGCGTTTTGGTGGGCTGCAAAGAGAACGGTCAGAACATTCAAAAAGCCTCAGATGATGAAAGCAATGATGATCCTCTATTTTGATGACTATTATAGTGCATCTTAATAATATGTCAGAAAATAATCTCACAACATATAGCATGACATAGATAAATACAGGCTATCAGCAGCAACATTAGGTGAGTAAAACAAAACTAGTGTATTCTTAGTCTCAACAATTAGTATCATTTTTCCATTCCTCACCAGCAAGGTAATCACGGTACTGCTTAGATCCAATATGAGCCGCAGATATTGTTCTCGGAACGCCATGAAGTCCAGAAGCAGCTGATACAGACAATGGAATCAAATGTCATTATATTCGCAGAACATACAAGGTGCAAACGAAAAAGCAAGGCTACTGCCTAACACGGACAAGATTCATCACCCATCTGGCAAAGTCATACCATTAGATTTATATCGTGATGCTTGTGTTAAACACCAATACAGACTATAAATACAAGCCAATAGTATTAAAGTCTCACCTGAATCCATGGCTCCAAGCTCTGCAATGAACCTTAGCACTATCGTCCATAGTGTCCAATGCAAACTTATCCACCTGTCACAGCCATCCATGGAACTATGATACTAAGACCCAGTTCAAAGGAAAAGAAAAAAATTAAAAAAAGGTCCAGAAGAGCTACCCATTCAAGCTGCAACTTGCTGTGGTGTTCAGGGAACTTTCTCGAGCAAAATACAAATTTTGGGTTGGTTTGGTAGCAGGCCTGCTTTCCAGAATGCTTCTGAGTAGATATGATTTCCCAAAATCAGGATAATCCAAATCTGATTAAGTCTATACATTTTCGACATTAGCCTTCCGCTACATGGGTGAGCTGGTACACCCACTGCATTGTCCAAACCCTTGTGGGATCAACTGCCTGAGCTTTGATTCACCGCAACTTCAGCTCCACCATAACTCCTGAATCCTATGTCCGGGCCCAAGTACTGGTCCACCGTGTTGGGCCCTCCCATTCGTTTGATCTGACCACTGCCTGTGTCGAGGATAACACGTCTTGAGATGGGAAATGCGGCCACGATTCAGCCATTTTTACCCGGCAAGCAGTTGTTTTCAGACCATAAGCCCTTCCATTTCCTGCAATTTCACAACAAAACATTTCAGGGATCGAGAATAACAAACAATTATGTTCGATTTCAAAACCACCTGTGGGACTTCTCCACTGGCCCACGCCCTGCCGAGCTGAAAAAACAACACACACACACACACTCCCTCCAGCTAAAAATTTAAGAAAAAAAAAACATCGTACACATATTCTACATACTGGAAAATGAACAATGAAAAAAAAAATACAAGGTTAACATAAACTTGATATATATTTCATCACAATATGGTAGTGCTGCAGAAAAATATGACAATTTCAACTTCTGCCATTCTTCAACCATTAGCTCCAGCTGCGCTAGCACTAATTCATAAAAGAGAAATAATTCCTCAATTCTGAGAGAGAGAAAACCAAAAAAAGTACCATTAGCACGAAATGCAGGTGAGGGCTCGGTCATTGAAGCTTCTCAGGAACAGAATTAAACACGGGAGCTACTTCAACGTCAGATCTACATTTTGCTCCAGACTACAAAATGCCGAGCAAATTACTCGACATACAATAATTAACCAGACGAGCTATATGGAGTTAATGACTTTCTTCAGTAGCAGAGAGTGTGGGTGTGTGAGAGAAGATTTCTGTTTTTTTTGGTTTTCCACTTTTCCTCTTTGTTTTTCTCAATCGCTATTCACCGCCCCTTTTACTAGTCACTTTTACTAGTCACTGTCCCCCATTTACTCTTTTGCCCTTAATTCTTTTTTTGATTTCATCTCTCTAAACTTTCTATCTCTCTAAACTTCCAAACTTCAACGAACGATTCGAGCATCAAAAAAAATCCAAAAAAATGTCGAAAAATTTCTACGGCCTCGGCAAAGGACTCTTCTCCAACAAGGTAATTTTATTTTTTTTAATGCCAGAACTATTTTTAAATAATTTTTTTTTGAATCTGCGCGGCCGTCCAGCCGGTGCTTCCGGATGGCCGCCGTCCGTCCGGTCGTCGGTTCCGGACGGACGAAAAACCGTCCGATCGGCCGAACCGGACGGCCGAAAAACCTTCCGGAACCGCCGGCCGGTCAGTTTATTTTTTTTTATAATAATTATAATAAAATAAATAATTATAATTATTATAATAACAATTATAAATTAAAATAATAATCATATATTATAATAATAATAATAAGTTAATAAATTGTAATTAATTATAAATTCTAATTAAAATAATAATAATAATAATAATAATAATAATAATAATAATAATAATAATAAT